CCCCAGCTGTACACCCCGACAAGTAAGAATATTTATTCTCGTGGGTTTCAAGCCTTTATTAAGGGAGAGTCAGAAATTAAACCGGTACCGTGTAATATGGGGACCCTACTCTAGAGCGCTAATACGGGTCGAGAGTTTTGAGGAGTTAATATTCTCTCCCAGCAGCTCTGTTTAAAGGCTTCCTGTTCCCCACAGATGAAGCCTACACAGTTGCAAAGGCTTAGGGGAAGGTTCCAGGCCCAAGAGAAGCTGAATCGGCCTCGGATAAATCCTTCTAACCTTTCTCAGTTGAAAACTGATATTGAAGCTGCATCTTCGAGCGCAGGACCTAGGAATGACATATTCGACGTACCCTACGATCCTATAAGTGATACCATCTACGGCTACTCGAAGCAGCAGCGGCCACTACTCCTCGAGGTGATCTGCAACGGGCGACGCCTCCAGGCCCTGGTGGACAGTGGTGCGTCCCACTCGGTGTGCGACCGCGTGACGTTGGAGAAAATTGGAGAGTCATCGGAGAAGACCCAGTTTAAAGCAACAATGGTGGACGGTACGAAGCTTCCCATCCACGGCGAATCAACACTGCAGCTGCAGATAGGAGCGTTGAGGTGGAAGCCGACGTTGCCGATCACGAACATCAAGGGATTAGATTTCATCTTGGGGCGTGATTTTCTGAAGCGGTTCAACCGTGAGATCGACTGGGTGAACCGGAAAACGTGCATCTACAACAACAGGAAACGAGTGGAGATGCGAAGCTGGACGGATACAGGGAGCGTTTCGGAAACGACACTAGCACGGTTTGAACAGACAGTGAACGAGAGTAACACGGGTTACCTAGCACTGGTTATGGCAGCAACAGAGGAGGAGAAGCCGAACGCAGAGCTACCTGCAGCAGTGAAGGAGGTGTTGGAGCAATACAAGGACATCATGCCAGACGATCTACCTGTAGGAGTACCTCCAGCACGCACCCACGAGCACGAGATGATGGAGGAACCAAGAGCGAAACCCCTCCTAACATGGAAAGATCCTGGAAATGTGAAAGAGTTGCAGCAGTTCCTAGGCTTCGCCAACTACTACAACAGGTTCGTGCGACAATACGCTAAGACAGAAGTGCAACTGACCGACCTACTGAAAAAAGGATACGCCCTACAAATGGGATACTCCTCAACAGCAAGCCATGGAGCAGCTACAGACAGCACTGACTACAGCGCCAGTACTCATCCTACCGGATCCAGACAGAGACTACGTGGTAGAAGCAGACGCTAGTGACCAAGCAGTTGGAGCAGTACTGATGCAGCATCACGGATGCAGTTTGCAGCCCATTGCCTACCTCAGTAAGAAGCTGTTACAGTGGGAGAAGGACTTAGCTGTAAGAAAGGGATCAGGAAAGATTTGGGTACCGAACTATGCCCCGCTCCGACAGATTATGCTGGAGGAGTTTCACGACGTACAGTACGCGGGACATTTCGGGAGCAACAAGACGTTAGCAGGGATAGCGAAGTATTACTACTGGCCCGGGATGGCAGCAGACGTGCAGCAGTTTGTCGCCTCATGCGACACGTGCCAGCGGATGAAGAGTAGCAAGCAGAAAAAAGCAGGGTTACTTCAGTCTCTACCCGTACCGGAGCAGCCATGGCAGGTGTCGAGCCTATATATAGCCTCGCCTTGTACCCAGGTGATTCATTTGAATATATTTATCTTACCTGAACCAGATCCTCACACCGGCACACTTTCCAAATTGCGAGAACATGACGATTACACTCTGAAGCAACCATGGTTCCAACTCCTTGATCGGCGCTTGGGTCCACACTCGCTCGATCTCTTTGCGAACGCCACCAATGCGCAACTCTCTCGTTTTTTCTTGAAGGTGCCCCACCCGGCGGCGCACGCAGTCAATGCTTTCTCCATTTCATGGACCAGGGAACACGGGTGCTACACCACGCACAACGCAGTCAATGTCAGTAGAGCTGCACTGTGAGATCCCCGATCGATCCTAGGGGGGGTTACAGGCGCGTTTGCCTGGGGGGTTATGGGCGCACTGACCCGCTACTGAAAAAAGCCCTTTTATCCCAGTGGTCTAGTGGTTGGGATTCTGACATGGTATCAGAGAGGTCTCGGGTTCGAATCCGTATGCACATGTAGGCCGTTGCCACTGTGCTCAGTCCTGGGCCTCCCAGTGTGGGGGGGTGTCAGTAGAGCTGCACTGTGAGATCCCCGATCGATCCTAGGGGGGGTTACAGGCGCGTTTGCCTGGGGGGTTATGGGCGCACTGACCCGCTACTGAAAAAAGCCCTTTTATCCCAGTGGTCTAGTGGTTGGGATTCTGACAATCAATGCTTTCTCCATTTCGCTTTCCCATCTCCTCAGTTGATTCCGACGCTGCTACACCACGCACAACAAACCCGCGCCAGGATCACGCTAATCCTCCCCGAATGGCCCAGTGTTGTTTAGTGGCCCCGAGTTCACCCAACATTGAACGAGTGGGCACCAGAAGTCAAGACCCACATCCGACTCACCAGCGGCAACCAGTGCCTTGGTGTAGGAACCCACACAACAGCATTCTCTAGCACTGGCCTTCCCAACAGCATCATGTATGCGCTCCTATTTTCATTCGAATAATTGTTGAGCATACTCTTGTTCTCATGGCACAGGCACCATGGTTAGGCTCTATCACCAACTTCTGTTGATCACATCCCAAGTCAGGGCGCATTCGACAATTCGCACGTACGACCCCTACTGGCTCAAGTTTCGCTCCTTCTGTGACCGATTCCAGCTATCATTCTTACCAACCACCGACACAACGCTTGCACTCTACTTGGTGCATGCAATTGAAAAAAAGGCAACAATATCCATGGTACAGCTCACCTGCTCGGCAGTCACTTTCGCACACCGCATGATCGTAGCTCGTTGTCCCGTCTAAGGCTCGTTCACCAGCCAAGTTCGCAAGTACGCCAAACGGCACTGCCCGCGCCCATCCCGGATCAAGGAGCCCGTGTCTCTTCACCAAGTCCACAGCATGGCACAACAAAACCTATCCGAGAAAGACCCGGCAGAATTCCAAAAGGGACTCATTCCCCTGCTCATGTATGCTGCATTCCTCAGATATTCGGATCTCGTGGCAATTCGCTGGGAAGACATACAATTCGAGGAGGATGTTATGTGGATCCTCATCCCGCATTCCAAAACGGACCAAGAGGGTCGTGGAATGTGGGTCCCAGTGGCGGCCACACCGGGCCCGTTCTGCCCTGTACGCTGCACCCAGCGCTTCATGCAACTCGCACTCACGGGCCGTTGATCCGTGTCTTTGGTCGTCATACATCGGCATCATCTACACCCACCTCCCCTTCATACACGACCATTCGCGATTGGTGAGAAGCATTCGCTAAGATCGGCTTCAGCGACACCCATTTGGGAACCCATCCATTCCGCAAAGGCGCAACCACCATGGCTGCAAGTGCAGGGGTCCCAGACCGCGTCTTCCAAAGGCTCGGTCGCTGGCGCAGCAGTACGGCCAGGGACCTTTACGTGACGATAGCAACCAAAGACTTGGTGTCCGCCTCTCGCTGAATTCATCGGGCTGACGCCGCACCGGCCCCTCCGCATCACGAGCAAGCCATCGTTCGCCAACGACAACCCTTGCTTCACATGCTTCAGAAGACCCACAAGCAATGAAGACGATGCTTATTGCTAGTCAAGAAGCAAGCTTTCTCAATATGTACATTTTGGAAAGTGTTACACTTTCTAAAACGACTTATTGTGAAAGCGCAGCAGCTTGTACGCAGCACTAAAGGCATCGTCGAAGCGCTATTCGCCCTTCTCCGACTACAAAAGAAAAGGTTTCGACCATTTGGCCTCACCCACGTTTTCATTTTTTTACTCTCAAGTTCAGTTTCCCCCCCACCCCCCGCATGCTTAGATATGATGTATGAAACTATGTTTATATGACGGGCAATGCTGCGCTTGACCACAAGCATTAAAGACGATGCTTATTGCTAGTCAAGAAGCAAGCTTTCTCAATCCGTAGAGCACCCTCAGGCGCGGGTGCTGGCTGCACAGCAGCTATTTGTGACACACATTTGCTAGGAGGCCCTTCACAGAATGGGTGCATGTTTAGTAGAGTATAAATACTTGGTATTTATCTTCGCCACACATGCTTCCATACACTACCGTATCACCTCGGATATAAGCGCACCTGCACTTAGAATCAACCAGTGTTTTTTGGGGGGGTGCAATTATAATTGAGTAAAAACTATAAGCGCATGCGCTTATAAAATGACAAATACAGATTTAATCTCATCCCATTGTACATCTCATCCCTGCGATTTCAATCGAATCGAGATGGTAGTGTCACAGGTCAGAATCGCGCGCGGGCGATTCTCTGCCGGCACACAGAGGCAAAGTACAGTGTAACACCTCACTTTGAGGGCGTGCCAGCTCGTGCTGACTGGACGCGCATGATGTGAGGTCCTCGAAAGTCAACCTAAGCAAAAATGGTTGTGAACTTGCCGCAAAATTGAATTTTGTTACCGTTTATATCAGGATTTATGAATAAAATTACACATGTGCTTATAATATATCAGGGTTTTATAATGGGTGCGCTTATAATTGAGCATCGGCCATAAGCGCATTGCTCCAGATATAAGCGCATGCGCTTTTTATAGGCCTGCGCTTATATCTGGGGTCATACGGTATGTACAATTGCATGCCTAAGAAGCATGACTAGTGGCAAGTGTGAGGTGAGGAGCCAGACTAAACGCCAGGATTGAAGGAAGAGTCAAGAGTTGACACCAGGATTTGACCGAAAAGCCGAGTTTACTGAAAACCCAGGAGTGAAAGTTGACGGCAAAGCCCGGAATTTACTGAAGGCAGGGGTTTACTCCTCTGAAGCATGAAAGGCCGGGCTTAGACGCAAGGGCTGCTTGGACGGAGGAAAGGGGGAGAGAGGCAAAAGAAGAAGGCAGGCTATTTAATACAACGTCTGAAGGTTTGACACCCAGGGATCAAGCGCAGGTCTGCATGGAGGAAGAATGAGGGAGTGTGGGGAGGGAGGACAATAGGAAAAAACCAGGGAACATGGGGAGGTCAAGAGGAGAAATCAGGGTGGGTGGGGAGGGAAGAGAGAGGAGAAAGCAGGGTGGTTGGGAAGTGAGGAAAAGAGGAGAAAGCAGGGTGGTTGGGAAGGGAAGAGAGAGGAGAAAGCAGGGTGGTTGGGGAGGGAGGAAGAGAGGAGAAATCAGGGTGGTTGGGGAGGGAGAAAGAGAGGAGAAAGCAGGGTGTTTGGGGAGGGAGGAAGAGCGGAGAAAGCAGGCTGGTTGGGGAGGGAGGAAGAGAGGAGAAAGCAGGGTTGTTGAGGAGGGAGGACGAGAGGAGAAAGGGACGAGCATGGTCATTGTAAGGCGAAGGAAGAAGGGAGCAGAGTATACAAGTGGAGTGTGGGCAACAAGCAAACAGCCACACTGCTACCTCTGCTGCTGCCTCTGCCCCTTCCTCGCTGCGGCCTCTCTTGTTAGCTTCGTTCTCCACTGTGTTGCTGACTGTGTTGTTGACTCAGTTAATTCCAATCACTCAAGATCTCTCACTTACCACTTTCTCCTTTCCCTCTCGTTCACACACACACATCCCTCAAGCGCATAGACTCCCTTACTGGGCTGTGAATTTGTCCCGAACCCTCTCCATTCTTCTCTCAATGCTCTCCCTCCCTTGCCCACCCTCACTCCCTCACCTAGCTGTGCAATTAGAATCATCAACCCAGCCAACCTGCTCCCACTGCTCCACAGCACTCCCCCCCAACTCCTCGCCCACTCTTCCCCATTTACCGAGACAGCCTTCTCCCTCACCTGGATGGGCAAACAGTCCCCTCCCGCCACACACTCGAGGTCATGAGCATCCCAGCCGGCTTAGTAGTCTTCTGGCAAAAGGACACTGTCGATGGTTGATTTGTGGCACGCGAGTGCGTCAGGAACAGTGTGCTGGCGTTTGCAGCGCAGCCCACGTTGGCCGAGAAAGCAACTGAGCAGAAGAGGAGAGTCGCCGGGCTGCTGCTCCCTGCATAGGCGTAGACTGCGCCGCCAGCGCCACACATATTTGACACGTTGAGGGCCCTGTTGTTGTAGAAGCTGACTCCTTGGAAGTAAAGGGAGGCTCCACTAGAGAAGATGGCACCCCCACCCGAAGCTGGATGGGTGGAGAGGAGGGTGGGTAGGGTGGGATGGGGACACAGGGGGGCAGTTGAGCGACAAGGACTGATGGCCGGACTGCAAAAGAGGGTGTGAGATGGGGACGGCGCAAGGCAACAACAGCTGCGAGAATGGTTTTATTCAGGAAACGAGGGGTGTGAGGAACTGAGCAGTGGCGAGGCCAGAGGTAGGAGCAGGGACAGGATGGAGGAATGACAGGGACTGCTGCTTGAGAAGAGACCATCCTTAGAAAAGGCCTTCCCTAGCAAAGGCATACCCCACAAAGCTTAATCCCTAGGAAAGACGTTTCCTAGAAAAGGCATTCCGTAGAAAAAGCATTCCCTAGAAAATGCATTTCTTGGAAAAAAAATATCCTTAGGAAAAGCTTTCTGTAGAAGATGCTTCCCTCTTATGTCTCTGGATGATGGAATAGAGAGGTGTGGAACAACGGCGGACGAGACTAATTTGGGTTTTTTAGCTATGATGGAGAAAGTTAGCCCTGGGCTTTTGAGGCGGGTCAAAGGCCATGAAAGGGAAATGTAGCACTGGATCCACAGAGCCAACCCCCACAGAACACACTCAACTCACAAGATTGACAGGACCACCCACAGAGCACAGAAAGCTCATAAGTGTGGGCTTGACTCCATACGGATTGACTTTTAAGAAGGCTCAAAGGTGACCATCGCACAGAAACATGCACACATTCAAACACACGCGTGCGCGTGCGCGCACACCCTCACTCACGCACGCACGCACGCACGCACGAACACACACACACACACACACACACACACACATGCACATGCACATGCAAAAACGCAACCATACACGTACGCGCGCGCGCACACACACACACATACATACATACACCCCCAGAACCCAGCACACAACCGCACACAGGTCTCACACAACCACACCATCCCAACCCCCTCCTCCCCACCCGCCATCCCTCCTCCCCCCTCGTCGCCCCTTCCAATGACTCACACACATGCACACACACGCGCACGCACGCACACACACACGTACTCACTCACTCACCAGCGCTATTCCCATCAAACGAACACCACTTGAACCGAAGATTGCCAGTTCCTGCCACCGAGATCACCCCTCCCATGCTCCATGGCACACGGTTGTTCCGGAAGACACAGTTCACAAAGGTCATAGCAGGCACGCTCCCCTGGGAGTTCCCCCAATTGATGTTGATTGCCACTGTGTTGTTGCGGAAGTTGCATAGTGTGAAGAAGCGACTGGGAGGTGTGACTGTTGCAGGGAAGGTGTCACTGGTGGGTTGGGGTGGGTGGGGATAGAGGAGAATGTGGTGTGCCTTGCTATGGGCGGTGCGGCGAGGGAAGATATTGGAGTGATGGCTGTTGCAGGGACGGATTCGCTGGTGGGTTGGGAGACAGGGAGGGAGGGACGGGTGGGTTGGAGGGCAGTGGAGATTGTGAGAGGGAATAGCGGGCATCAATCACGGATTGCTGAGAAGAGGCGGTAGGTAGGGGTGTATGGTGGGAGTCGCTAGTGGGTTGCGTGGGGATGGCAGGTGATTTAGAGTGTGGGAGGGAATACGGAGAACTCCCAGGGGACCGTGATTGGCGATTCACCGAACCATCAATCACGGTTTGTCGTCAAGTTGCTTGTGTGGATTCTCAAAAGTAGGTGAGGGACAATGGAATGTGCGACGGAATAGGGGGGCTATTAGTCACCGTTTGCGGTTGCGTTGCCGTGTAAGGTGCAGCATGAGACGACTTGAAGAGCACATCAGATCAGCATGCTATATTTTGATGCACCATGCTTCCATGCGCCAGACACACTCTCACATGAACTTTACTTACACACTTTCATTGCACACCATGCACACTTTCATTGCACACCATACACACTTTCATTGCACACCATGCACACTTTCGAGTGCACACCCACACACGCTTTCAAGTGCACACCACACAAGCTTTCAAGTGCACACCACACACGCACTTTCACGTGCACTACACACACACTCACCACCCCTCCCTTTCCCTCATCTCCCTCCCATCACCCTCACCTGAGAACCGCTGCGCTAAAGCGAGGAGCCGTGTTGTCGACGAAGTCGCATCGAGTCATGTTGATCGCTGTCCGAACGTTGAGAAAGATGCCTCCTCTCGACTCCTGAAAGATGAGGTTGACCAGAGTCAGCATCCCCCCGGTGGGGCCGGACGAGGGGGAGGTGAATATGGGCAAGGTGCCCCCGGATATGTAGCAGCTGGTGTTGGGGAGGGAGGAGGAGATGGTGCGCGAAGATAGAACAGCGGAACAAAAGCGGGTTTGAGAGAGAAGGGAAGAGGAGATGGCGGCGCAGAGAGGTTTGATAAGAGCAATGGCGATGCAGTGAGCAGCGGCAGCAAAGGCAAACAAGGGGGCATTGCTAGTGTGGCTTTTTCAGGCGTCTCAAAAGTCGTTGCAAGTGTGGCTGAGACGGTTGCGAGCTTGCTTCATTGTTTGCCAACCAGACTGCCACTGCACCCTATATTTGATAAACCTATTACACGCCTGGCATCCCTAGTATTACTCGTCTGGTAAGACTCTCTGGGTAAGACTACCATAACTTCCAGTGGCTGTGATAGTAACTGCAACCTTCTTGTGACCGTACCAGCCCCACTAGGGTCTGGTTCACCCATCTGACCCACTGAAACTACCATCCCCAGATGACCCTGGTTCCCAGATAATCCCACTACCCTCCTGGTACAGCAACCAACTGGTAGCACCCACCTGGTAACCCTGATAGACCAGAATTCCTACACGCGCCCCTGACGATCAGCTTGGCTGCACCTGAGAGTGCGGGGAGGGGGCTGTGGGAGGCGAGGGGGGAGGAAGGGGAAGGGGGATGTCGTTTGGGGTAGCGGGAAGAAGAAAACATCCTGGGAAGTAGGAAAGATAAATTATTTTTAGTTGACTTAACTCAATTAAGGGGCGAGAGAGAGTGGGTCGAAATGGTTTGATAATGCACATAGAGCCTGCTTGATGGCATGAGAGGCGTGGTGCGTCTCCATGGTGTAACCCTACCTTGATTTTTGTTTTCTTGGACTTAAGTGCGTAGAAAACTAAACAGTGTTCGTGGCATGAGGTGGCGAGCGCACGACGTGGCGAGACGGGACATGTGCAGGCGAGGATTGATGAGGAACTTACTGGTATGATGAGATATACACGCTGGAGGTGAGATTGAGCTCAGTGGGCGGTGCGACTGCTCCTCCCTGTGGTCACGCCAGTGGACGCAACACACACACGGGTGAACGGGAAAGTTGAGCTAACCCCGTCAAATCTTTCCTTACCCACTTGTACAACTAGGCTAACTGCCAGTTGAATCAATGAAAAAAGCATTTATGTATATTCTGATTTTTGCATCGCCTTGACCTGTGCTCCCACCCACTCACCCATACTACCCACAACCTGCTGAAGCACGAACTATTGACGACAAACACGCGGAAAAAGCATGCGTGAGCAAAATAATATTTTTCTTTCGCGAACACATAAAAACGAAAACGTATGCGGAAGGTGATACAACACGCGACGAGCCTCGTGCTCCGAGCACGCCTTACTAGTAGTGATTCACCATTCGAAAACAATCACATCGACAGATTTTCTTGCTACTTGGTTTGGCTGGAATCGGGTTCACGTGGATGCTTGTCGTTTCAACTGGGAGGCCGCTAATGTCCCTGTAGGTCACCTTATCGGCATGTTGTGACTTACGATAGTTTTGGACCAGCTACTGAAGGGTTCTCGAGGCTGGTTGTTGTACCTTGAAGGTACTACTTATGTGATGAATGTGCGCTAAAATCGCAGCACGACGATACCTATCGGTTTGCAGCTATCCTTCGCGCTGACACGCTACAGTGAAGTGCAACTACTAGAAGTAGGTACATGATCATGCTACTCACCTAGGGTTTTCACGGGGAAATAGAGATGACGTGCGTACCGCATTCGCCAGGAGGATGGCATCTTTAAGTGTCAACTCTGGGGACGCCGCGACAGCCGAGTCTGGACCGCAGATCATCCCAGTGACTAGCGATGCGACGATGAAGGAAATGATGTGATGGTGTGCTGTGATTGGTCTGTCATAACCCATCCTGAGCCTGAAGGCCTAGTAACCGAATAAGCGCCTGAAGAGAAGAGAGGCAAAGTCTCGTGACGCGGAGTCAATGCTTCGCGCTTATTGTGCTCTAGGAGGAACTATCATCGCGAAAGTGTGAGGCCCGAAAAGTTGCGGAATAGCAACTTCAAAGTTGCTTTTCCGCAACTTTGGTTTCGCAAGAAAAAAGTCTAGGTCAAAGGCTTCTGTGGCGGGGTGACTTTCGAAGTTGCGGAAAAGTGACGACAAAGCGACAAAAAAATGGCCATATTGCAACCACACGACACAACTGAAAGGTGACATCTGAAGTGACATTTGTCTGAAGGTCTTGGGCTTTAAGTCCCTTTTGCCACCCCTTTGCCACGTGGACGCCTGAACGCCACGTATGTAGATATTTCCTGCCAGCTGTCAAGGTGAATAGTGGACGTACAAATGCCACGTGGACCAATCAGTTTTCGGGACGCATATTGGCGCATGCAATATAATTTGTGGAGACAATTGAGTTCAGCATGTACATATAGAAATTTATGTTACTAAACGTACATTTTTATACAACAGACCTGACAAAACGCCCTAACACCATAATCAACATGATCTGGCACAACTAAATAATCTAACTGCAGGTACTTCAACAGAATCAAAACATTTACGCCCTTTCAACCACTTGAGCCTGGAGTTCTGAAACACACGTAAAATCAGAAACACAATCCAAGACAGGGAGTAGTACCTGCAAAAACTGATGTTAGCCAGGCGAGTACAAATGTAGTAGTAGACATACCTGCGGCCACTTACCTGTTTGCCGCAGTGGACTACGAATATTTGTGCCGTTTGATAAGTAACATGTTTACGAAATACATCGACATTAATACAAGGTCGCGCAAATGAGGAGCGCACCACACGACGTTAAGAAAATACACATCTGCACACAAAGCGACATAATTCGACCAAGAGAGAATGCACTCCCAGCGTTGCCCTCCATTCCGTGCACAGCACGGTAAGTCATGAGTTAGGCAACAACAAAAAAAAAGAAACAAGGTGTCGACGTACCGATAAAGGACCGTCTCAGTGACTCCGAACACCCGTTGTACGGTTGTAAAACGGCTCCCGACCTCCAGTTGAATTTGGACTTCAACCTGGACAATGGCACAAGGAGAAAAAAAAAACGACGCAATAAGACTTTAGGAGAAAACGAGAATACTTAGGGAAGACGGATCTGATCGTGGCAGAAAAGATTGATGCAAAGAAGAGCAGCGCGCCTAGTAACTAGAGAAAAACGTAAAGTTTTGAGAAGAACAAGAGCAGAAAATGAGACACGAAGCTAGGAGGTGGTAGAAGAAGGGGTTGGTTGGGAGCACATTCGAGAGGTTCTAGGTTCAGAGCTGACGTGGAGATAAGGAATCATGCTGATTGGTGGGCTCAGGTTTGTTTCCCACATCGAATGGTTCAGAACCACAAGATGTGGTTCTGATTCCTGAATCAGCAGAGTTTTGGTTGGCGACGTTACCACGAAATTCGGGAAACACAGTGGCCGTGTAACATTCGCGCTGCTTGTTGATTGGTCGTTTCAATTTCAGTTCGGAGAAATTTCGGTCACACAAGTAACATTTCGTCAGCTGTGCGAAATTGCCGCTAACCTTAACTCCCTACACCGCACTGTAACGCTCTTTAACACGCGAGACACAAGTGGGTGTGCACATTTGAGGGGTGAAAGTGACATTTCCGTAGCTGTTTTGTTGCGCCATACAGGTGACATTCTCGCAACTTTCACCCTGGGTGTTTTTCCAAAGGTTTTCCGCAACTTTTCCGCAAGAAAAGCTACCGTGTACATTTTGTGCCCACAAGAGATTTCGCGATGATCCCTGCTTGAGAAAATGTGAGTGAGACCTAGTAGAGAGAATGTGCAAGAACTTCGAGAACACACAAACGCGTCTGTACCTTTTGCGAATCTCCGTACCATTTACCTTTTGGGCTCAATCGCCAGGGCGCAACCTTGGGTTCATTCCACCGCATCGCAGGGTTTGCACCTGCCTAGCGCCACGCCGCGAAGGGCGGCCAAGGGATTGGGACGGGACGGGAGGGTGCATCGAACATGCGCCCCGATGTCTGTCGACGCGACGCAAGCTACGGAACGGACGTTGACCGTCGATCGTCACGGGATGCTGGGCACTCTGGGCACTCTGAACACGCGCTGGCGCCTGTGCGGAACGAGGATTGGTTGAATGGTCGCGCCAGCCATGCCATGGCTGAACATGGTGTTGATGACCTGGCTCCCACCTGAAGCTTCTACCTGGCATTTGCGGGTAGCAGGAACAACAACTCGCGGTTATCACGGCTGCCCCGAATTTGCGTGTTTTGTAATGAGCAGTGCAAATCTTGACACAGCTGAGTCGAGAGGCCTTCATCTTATGGTGGTTACCGAAAAGAACACAGATACTCTCAAATACCCTACCCAACTATTCTATATACAGAATGCAACTCTAGAGAACTCATTAAGCTACGTTGAGTCTCCTTAGAACGGACTTTTGAAACAACCACTAAGGGTGTGTGCCATGCTTTATTATTGCTGGAGAAGGAAGCACCAGCTTCACTGATATTTTAATTAATCAGATAGTGTTTCACCAAGCTATGGTAAAGGAACAAGAACATTGATAAAAATCAGGCCTACGTTGTCCGGGTAAAATATCAGGATACCCTGATTTTCGGGGAATGGCCTGTCAAGGCACAAAGATCTAACTTCATATGTAAACTCAAAGGCTAGTTAGAGTTGGACTATAAATGGTACATCTTTCCATATATTTGTATATCTTTTCACGTTAGTGCACTCCTTATTTCTTAAGATGGTACCAGAGTTAGGTTTCGGTCAACTGCTTCGCCGTGCCTACCCTACCTACTCAAGTAACGTCCCCCATAGAGTGCCCTCCTTGTGAAAATAAGCAGTAGAAGAAGGCGCCATAGCTAGGAAAGCCCTAGCTAGGCAAGAAACAGTTTAGGCAAAAGAGGGGGTTGCACTAGCAAGAATGAGGATACAAATAGCAAACCCTAGAAGGGTTGTACTCGCTATAGAGCACCCCACTACAGGCTAGAGCATAATATTCTGACACACCCCCATAGCCAAAGTGGGGTGTAATCAACAGAGCAAGCAAAGCAGTACAAGCTCAGGGTGGATCACAATGTCACCACACATTCTGAGCACAAGTTCAAGAAGCAATAGTTTAAAGTTCACAATTATGAGCAAAGCTAGTGGTAGTCACAGAGGGCAAGTGAGGAGGAGGAGAGACTGTGGGGGAGAGAAGATGGGAGGCGACTGCTGACGCTGCAGACACACAGACGAGCTGCTGGCTCAGTGGCTACCGAAGCAAAGGCCCGGACTACAGGAGTAACTGTCTCCGCGGCTAAAAGTAGCGGCAGACGAGCAACTGACCCACAGGCGACTGGCGACTACCGGAGATTGTAGCCTCCGGACTGCTGGTGCTGCTGACGACAAGACTGCTGCCTCCACTTAACCTCCCCCAGCTGCCCAACACCCCTCTCACACACCCGCTGCTACACCGCTAGCTCCACTCCCCCTTCACCCCCCCTTAGTACCACTCCAACGGCTCCAACAAGTCCACCCCCCCTCAGCGGCAGCTGCAGCACAGGGAGACGGAGGAGGAGGAGGAGCAGGGAACGGCACACAGTAGCTTCACCCCCATACCCCTCACCCCCAAACCCTAATTCAGGAGAACGGGCTGTAGGAGGGGTGGGGCGCCAGTAGAAGCACGGGGGACAGCGGGGAGGGCAGGGGCAGCGAG